CAAGTCTTGAAGGCTCTTAAGATCATGCATCGTGCTGGGTTTGCGCATCGTGACCTGAATCCGAAGGTACTGGTTTGCTACTTTGTTACGCCAACTGGACATCTGGGTACCGTTATTACACCGGCTAACCATATCCTTAGAACATTCTCATCGCGCAGATGCCTACCTCTAGATTTCAGAGCTGGCAGATCAACCTCGCCGACTTTGGACTTAGCAAACGAATAAAATCTGGGAATGGCAAAAACAGCACCGTCAAGGGTACTCCGGACCACCTACCCCCGGAGGTGAACTTGGCACACCTATATCCAGTAACGATGGACAACACCGATTGTTTCCGCATGGACATGTGGGCTTTGGGGACCACGACGTACTATTTGCTATGCCAAAAATACCCCTTCCAATCACATTCGGAGAAATCTACCTTCATCCAGAGCAAATAGGACTACGAAAGGACCAGCCAGATTCACCAAGACACGTTGACCAGAGGCCCCAACCGGCTTACATCAGAAGGACAGCACTTTATCTTAGAACGGTTGACAGCAGCAGAAAAGCGCAAGCTCCCAGACGAGTGCCGCAAGCATGCTTGGTTCAGGGATTACGAGTCAGAGGTGGAAGACTCAGATATGGAGTAGGTTTACGTGCTTTGTGGTTTCCCAAAGCCACACGAGAGACAAATCCCTGGCATACTAACACACTTTTTGCCTATCACTAGAGATTGCAATTCCGTGGCTGATGAAGAGGCCCGGCTGGAGGATGACCCCAACTTCGGTCAAAACCTAAGCAGCGTGGCCGGGAACATGACTGTGATGAAAGGTTCTAACATTGTATTTTGCCCGTACACTGATCCCGATGGCTACAGGGGCGCCTTCCCCAGAGATACGGAAACCTGCGTGGCCGCCGCATAGCCTTCTTCTAAATTTGCTCAGCACCTTCTCTGGCATCTCCACATCAAGCTCAATCCCAACGAAAGCCCAGCTCAGTACATGCCGAAAATGCCCATTGAAGCTGCGTTTCGCAAGAAGGGCAGAGTGATCGAGTACTTGCTCGAGAATGAGAAAAACTGGGTGTGGGTCAACTCTGTGAGCACTGCCTGGTGTTCTCGGGAATGGGGCCTCACCGGAACAATGACGGCGCTTTGGGTGGCTTGCTACACCGACAACATATCATTAGTCGAGTGGCTGATTGGAAAAGAAGCCGATGTGCAACTTAGTGGTGACCAGCAACCCACGCCTCTGGGGCTTATTGAGGTCTCCGCGGTTTTACGGCCTCATGTGGAGAGCCTCCTGCCTCACCATACCTCCACGTTGCCAAGTGTCGGCCACCATACGCACCTGAACGTGGAGCAAAGATATGCCGACAATTACTCATGTCGGTCAAGCGTCGATATGAGCCGTTCAGAGTAAGATACCCAAAGTCAGTATGATGCGGAAGACGGCCATCTTTTCCGAGGTGGCTGGAATTCTAGGGACCCGAGCGTGGCTTTCAGTGACTACTCCCCGGCCGACCGGGAAGAAGCAGGTAAGAAACTCTTTGGCGGTAGCCTCCAGCACAAACACAATGAACAAGACTGACTCAGGTACACAGACCGTATAATGGATAAATTGGCGTCAGGGCCCTGGGGGATAACCTACGTCAGCCTGAGTGAACGTGGTTCTACCAAAAATCGACATGGAGTCTCAAAAATTAGGGCATCTGCCAGACCTACCTCATCAGCTGGAAGCATAAAAAATATGGGGTGCCCGTACAAGCTGGAGTGTCCGTACAATGCTATGGTTCAGAAAAAATGGACTCTCCCCGACCTGGTCAGCCACCTGTCCAGCAGGCACTGTGCGGTACCAGAGCCGGACCACATGAATAGCAAGCCGCTGTACGGGAAGGTCAATTTGATTGCGGCCACACTGCTGGTTTGGGCTGCTGGGGCTGGTGAGACTCATATCCTCGATTGGCTCTTCAAGGACAGCAAAAGGAGAGGGAAACTCGAGCTTAAAAATGCCGACCACACGGGCCCGCACTACGGAAGCACCACAGCCCTTATGAAAGCAGCAGAGCATAGGCAGTTCAAGGTGATTGAGACGCTGAGGACCTACGCTACCAGGAGTTGCGGCATCAAAGAAGTCGACCTCACCAACGACGAAGGGTTCACCGCGCTGCACCTCGCTGTTGAATCGCGCTATCATCATGTCGTCGACACTATCATTCACCTGGGAGCCGATGTCAACAAACGCGTCGCTAATGACATCTTGACGCCGCTTAGCATTGCCCTCGACATGGGTCCCCCATCCTGGATCATCTCACAAAGGCTATTCAGAGCGGGTGCCCAGGTTGAGCCGGTTAGGCCATTTTTTGTCGGAGGAGTACAAGCATATAGACGGGAAGGGCTTTGAGGAGAAGTTAAGAACCATGGAAGGTGTGCTTGAATTGGTTGGTTCAGGCTGACAACCTGAAAAGGAGGATTGCATGACGTGGCGTGATGGGAAGTCAGTCAAGTGGTGATAAGTCAGATGGCAGCATGTCGGAGAGAGGACCTTGGGATATCTGCTGGAGAAAAGCTATCAGTACATGTGCCGGAGGAGGATCTCTTTATTTTCCATTGCTTTCCAGGTTAGATTTCGAATCTATTTTGTTTTCCCATAAACAGCAAACGATATCCATCGGCAACGCCACTCAAGTGGTCTCATCCGTCCATGTCTATTCCAATGTGAGACCTCCAGTCTCCCCGGCACACGAAGCAGACACTCCGATATTAAGGAGATTTCTATGTTTAACTGTATTCTGACCCACTTTGCAACTGGCACCTCCGCTGGTTGCACCCCCTTTCCAAAGTAATTGACGGACCTGCAGCTTCGAACTTCGAGGTGTTCGGACCGCGAGACGTTGAAAGTTTGAGCGCATTGATTCCTGGTCTCCAATTCGGAGTCAGAATTGGAGTAGTTTAGACAAAGTACCCCTTTCAAAGCACCTTGACTAAAGCACCTTGACCAAGGTCCATATCCAAACTAAATAATTCGCGAATATACAAAAATTCCAATTTTTCAACGTTTATTTCTAATAATTAAGAAGTTTTAATATTATGAGTTTGAAAACGTTAAGAAAGACTTTGGAACTTTGAGACCTTGTGATCTTGAGACTTTAAAATCTTAGTAACTTTGGTAATAGTACGGAAGACTTCGACTGCTATTGGGCGTGGGCGTAGAGGCCAGCAGGTGATATCAGGTGCTGGTGTGGGGAAAAATACAGTTGAACGTACAAACCTCCGTACGATATCCAACACCCAGCATTATAGGAGAAAAGAATAATGTGGAAACAGTCCCAAGCAAGATTGAACAAAGGAAAAGATGTAGACCTTAGTATTTTCAGTCTCTCCTCAGTTCGGTACTTTCCGTCGAGTGTCCTCCCCAATGCATGCAGTCTGCAGTCTGCAACGCTGCTTAACCGGGAAAAGTGGACCAAAATGCACGGGCCAAACCAAGCTGCCGGCGTTGTCAACATAGAAGTTGAGCAAGACAGCATCGTCGTGACATATGGAAACGGCTTGTCTAGGTAGCAATGCGAAAGAGTAATGATTGTCACCCACGGTATATGGTACCTAAGGTATGTAGGCTCCATTTCTTTCTGGGATCGGTCTATAGGTGTATCACTAAAGCCCAAAGCCTTAAAAGGAACAAAGAGTAAAGACGGGAGGTATTCAAGACCTATCTTACATGTCTACCCAACCAGGACCTTCCATTCCCATCTTTATATCCAAATCGTCGAACTCTTTCTGCGGGAGTATCCCGGTGAGCCTACCCAGAATGTTCTCGCTAATCAACCGGGGCACGACGGCGCCATTCTTATCCCGGAACTTCTTCCTTTGATAGCCGTTGAAAGTGGCATTGTCCGGATCCAGGCAAGTCAGACAGTCCTTCACGACGTCGGCGTAGCCATCTCTCAAACCACTCCTATTTCGCAGCTCCCCGCACTGGAGGTGCAGAGATGCAAGAAATATTCTTTGAGCACCAACGCAGACGAGTCTTGCATGATCTCGACGCGCTTCTTAGGGTTCTCCTTCAACTCACGGCACACATTTTTGTTGTAGCTACAGCAGTACCGGTCAAATGCCGCTCCCGGGCCCTGCTCGCCGGTGGTGAAGCCCTCCTCCCCAGTAGTGAAGTTGGTGTGGAGGAAGCTTGCCTACACACCAATCTCGAGGAGACAGACAAGACTGTATAGGTCGTGGTGGAATTGCGGCTTCCTGGACACGGGGTTCTCCCCGCGGAGGTCAGGGTGGAGGTAGATCGTCTTCATCTCAAGCTTTTCCCGGTGGGCTCGCGCGGTTTGCGCTCGAAAATGATTGGCGACAGTGAAGCCAGTAAGGAAGACGTTGGGCGGGGGTTTGGTGCTGCATCTTTCTATGCTTTTCCTGTTGGTGAAGTTGAGGATGTTTCCCGGGTGGATGTTGGAGGAGGACGAACCTTGGAGCATCCCTTTCTTGTATCATGGAGAGCTCAGGGGCGTCGTTGACAGAAGACTTCAAGTCGTTCACAAGCACCATCCATGGTGCGTTTCTTTCGTCGGTCGCTGCGTACGGATGCTCCATCTTTTCATTGTATATCTCCGCTTCCCACCCCCATTCTTTTCTGTGATGAGGAAGCTTCCGCGGATCTTCCAGGGTAATCCAATCCTTTTGTCACACGGACATATGC